TGACCCACTGGGAAGAACAAATCCGTGCGGGTGTGGCCCAAAGCGGACAATATCGATGATATGTGAAGGGTTGGGGCGTTACATCCTACTTATTCATTGACAAACCAATTTGAAGAATTTTTAGCAGAATTAAGTAAATTTAAAGAAACTCTTTCAAAAATGATCAATGATAATGAACCAATCGTCTACCTTACAGTCGACACTTCCCCTACTCCTACTCAGGAAGGCAAAGAAAAAGTAGAGCAAAGTGGGAGTATCAATGTTTTACAAAAGGATACTTTGTTACAAAATTGGTACGAACAATTTATATCAAATACTCCTACACAAGTCAATGAAACATCCATTATTACTGGTCAACCACCCACAATGAATTATTATCCTCGTCCTATACTCATAGATCTTCAACTAGAAAAAAGACATTTTGACACCCATTTTTCTTATTCTGGAAGTGATCTTTGTGAATAGAATATTGATGGCAAATCTGACTATCAAATTCTTGACCTTCACCAACATATGGTCATGGCAGCTAATGTTACCCTTGCAAAACATCTAACCAATAACAATGATTTCACCATAGCCCGCATGCTTATTTCCAGTTTTACAAGACAGTTAAAAGGATGGTGGGATAACTACCTTAATTCAAAACAAAGACAAGCCATTCTTACTGCTGCTAAGCGACATCAAAATGATAATCCCATATTAGATCCATCCACTAGATAGCCTACTAGCGATGTTGTCACCAACTTGGTTATGGCTATCATTCAACATTATATAAGAAATACCCAAATCGTTTTAGAACAGTCCAAAGAATTAGTAATCAATTTATGTTGCCCAACGCTCACCCATTTTCAATAGTACAAAGATATTTTTCACTCAAAACTCTATCAAAGGCATGATGCTAATCAAGACTTTTGAAAAGAAGGATTCATTGTTGAACTTCCAACTTTATTTGCTAAAAAGGTGAAAACTCAAAGTATAGCCAAACATAATGGAAAAATCCCTGACAACCAATATACTTTTGGAGAGTTAATATCTAAAATTTGTGTTGAAGGATTATCTCTTTGCAATGATATCAAACTCAAAAACCAATTAAAGAAAGAAAGCAAAATAGGCTGCACGAAATTAGGACAATTTTGCTACCAATTAGGTTACAATTCTATTTTACCTCATCTCACAGGAGCCTCTTCAAGGAAAACACCTTATAAAAGGTTAACCAAAAATTACTCCAAGAAAAAATATTCTACTAACAAATTCCAAAATTAGAAAAACAAACCTTACTACAAGAAGAAATGATTTAGCAACTCAAAATCTCTAAATTTCACTAAATCCAAACCCAATACCTCTAAAAAGAATGCTACTCGTTGGAAATGTTGAAAAATTAGACATTATGCAAACAAATGTCTCACTAAGAAGAAAATCCAAGAATTAGACATCTCTGATGAATTCAAAAATCTATTAGAATCAATTCTTTTACTCGACAAAGAACCTAATATGCCAAATTCTGATTCTGATTATTCTACTGATAATAACCCTTATGACGATTTCCAATTGAATGAAATTGATAATGATATTCTCTCAATATTTGATGATGAAGATGATATGGAAGCAACTCCTGAAGACAGAGACTGGCCTTGTCACGCCTCTAATGATTATTATAAGGCCATATTAGAAATGAATACTCTCATTATTAATGTATTAACAACAAATGAGAAAATGATACTTGAATTAATCAATAGCATTGATGATCCCGATAAAAAACAAGTTTAAATATTTGAATTCCAAACATAATCAAACTACATCATCGAACACGACTCAAGAATTGAAGCATGATACATATGATTTCAAAGATGCTGTAGATAGGGTAAATAAAGTCCGAACTCCTCTCAATACACCATCAATCCAAGACTTACAAAATGAAATTCCCAATCTCAAAATTGATATACACGATTTACAATTACAAGTTATTGCTCTTAAACAAAATTCTACTGATACTTGCTTAGAAGATACTCTTGTGTCCATGGAGTTGGATTTTTCAATAATCGGGTATAAAGAATTTGAGTATCTTTGTAGAGATCTTTGTAGAATTTAGAAATATAATTGAGGCTGCCTAGAAACCTTTGTAATTGTGTTTTATCACGTAATTCATCAAGAAACTTGTTAGCAAACTCAATTGATCGTTTTATTGGAATAATAGTTACTTTATTTACAAAAAGGACAAATTACACTTAGCACCCATGCACTTTACACTCAGTCTCACTTTGACTCTTGACCTTGTATGAATTACACTTTGCATCAAATCTCATTTTGGCCCGTACATATTAATTCATGATAGTCAACGCCTTGTACTCTTGGTCAATTGTCAATGTCCCCTTTTTGTTATTTCATCATATAAGTTTTTAACAGAAGTTAGTAATGTGACAAGTATATGATTACGAAATGAGTGTATAAGAGGAAAATCACCCACATTTCCTATCTATACACATTTCATCCCAAAATTTATATCAACTTATGACTGTATTTGTCACGACCTGACCTTGGTACCCAGGGGTTAGATTTCGCAACCGGCCAATAACTAAGGTTACTAAAGGTCATTTTCCAAAAAATAATAGATTAACAATGCAAGTGGAACTGAAGTAAAATAGAAAGGTATCTAAATATTTATATATATTTAAAACATGCATTGGAGCTTTTATTTATTTATATAAAAAATGTTATTAGTCTAGGAGTTGTCGCAAGTTTAGTCTTTAACTCCTGGACGAAACATTCTCATTTGTCGGTCCACTCAAATGGTGTATTTTTCTAGGTTAACTGAGTCAATGGTGGCGCAATCTTCGAGGTAATATCCTGCCAATCTCAAGAAGCTCCGAACTTCAGATACATTATTAGGTTGCGACCAATCCACGATTGTTGCAATCTTTTGCTAGTCAATGGAGATGCCATCTTTGTTAATGATGTGACGGAAAAAGTGTATTAATCCAAAATTCACATTTCTTCAACTTGGCATAAAGTTTGTAATCGCATAGTGTCTGCAATAGTGATCATAAATGTTGTTCATGGTCTTCTAGTGTTTTAGAGTATATGAGAATGCCATGAATGAAAACAATAACGTATTCATCGAGATAGGGTTTGAACACTCGATTCATGAAGTCCATAAAAGCCTTTAGAGTGTTATGTTTGGGAAAAATACACAAAGGAGTTTTTTTTTTTAGAATGTTACATTATTATATTTGAGAACAGTACACTAATGAGTTTTTTAATATGCTACATTAGAGTGTTACATCATTTTTTGAGTGTTATATATATTGGAGTGTTACGTTTAGAAAAACAAAAATACATTAAAGAGTTTTTTTTTAAGTGTTACGTTTAGTAATTTCAACATTATAAGAAAATCCACATTTGTCCCTCAATACATAACACGTGCGTTTATGCTTGGCCTTTTATGTAATTTACACTAGAATGAGACCTTTGAGTCCTTAAAAAAAAATGGAGGACCAAACAGTTCGTAAAATCACTATTTGTGATTTATTGGTGTTTCACCCTTTTATTAATGACTGCCCTTAGGGCACTTGATAAGAAGTTTAAAATTCTTATACACAATGTATGAGAGTACGTACAATATATAATGTTCAATCAATTTAAACATTGTTAACCAATGTCCTTAGGGCACCCATTAATTAAATCCTAAAAAAAATTAAAATTTTTTATACAAGATAATTTTTCTAAGATTAATATCTAGCCAAGTATGTGTCTTAAAGCATAATAGCGTTAGCAAATAATAGAAGTCTCTTTAACAACTTTATTTCAATTTAGCACAAATAAAGAAAAATAGTAATAACGAGCATAGGAATAAAACTATAAAGAACAAGACCAATGATACAGATTAACTATTAATCAAATTCTAATGCTTTAATTTCATAAAATTGTAATTCTTGTTCAATAATTGAATAATTAAAAACACAACCAAAATTTTTAGGGTTTGATTTATTTACCTGTACAACAAATGAAAACCACCTAAAAATTAAAAGTTGTAATATGTTAATAATTTATTATTTTCATTTTTCATTTTTCTTAAATTTAGTCATTGTGTGCAACAATTACTGTTGTATGGCCTTTTAAGCCCATTTCGGGACCCATTTCAATAATTCAAACCTCTCACATTTTAGAATATCAAGTAGAATATGTAAAAAATCAAGTTCATCGGATTTTGGTAACATTTGCATCAAATCACATTTCTATCAAAAAAATAAATTGTAAGTATATTTTGAAGTAAAAACTAAATACAAATGTAATTTGATCTTACTGATATGTGATTTGATAAAAGTGTTATCGATATTCGATCAATTTGATTATTTGTAGATATGTTCTACTCAATATACTCTTAAAATTGAATGAGTCAGATCATCTAAATGAGTTTAACGAGCCGCACAACAATGATTGCTGCGCATACGAGTTGTTTGGTTAACTAAACTTACCATATTTTTATTAAAATTGTACTTTGTCACTTTCAATTATCCATATCAACTCTCTATTCTTTAACTTAGGTTACAATATTACCCTTTTGTCTTAAGGACGTAAAATGGCCTATAAACCACATGTGACATTTTTCTTACTTAATTAGTCCATCTACATTTTCACCAAAATTCTATTTTGTCCCCGCACATTCACAAAAATTGTCTGTTTACTTTTAATTATGCTATAAAAAAATTTCATATGTGACCCACGCATTAATTTTTTCCATCGTTAATGATAAATTATTAGAAAAATAAAATTACAAATTAACTTAAATTTATTTAGTTGTAATTAAAAGTCAAAGGTTCACATTGTAATGGACTTGTATTCTTTTCATCTTTTTCCTGGTCTTGGCGACAATGAGACGCTAAAACATTGAAAAGAATACCAAAAAATATAAAAATAGAAGTGTAATAATTTGAGACCCATTCTTATAAAGATATGAGTCATCCTCTGTTCCATACTAATTTCCCTTTTGTGCAGATAATCATATGGGTATCAGAAAATATCCATGCTTCATGTTTTTTGTATTCTTCATATGCTGCTTCTTTTTCACCAACATTCTCTCCCATGGAGCTGACACCATCTCTGCAAATCAATCTCTTTCTGGGAAGTTTGAACTGGGTTTCTACAAACCAGGCAAGTCCTCATACTATTACATATCCATGTGGTACGCTAAAGTATCTACTCTAACAATAGTTTGGGTAGCCAATAGAGATAATCCCATCTCTGATAAGTATTCCTCTGTACTCAAAATCTTAGGTGGTAATTTGGTGATTTTAAATGAATCCCTAACCCTGATTTGGTCCACAAATCAGAACTCTACCACTTCCAATTCTGTGGTGGCTGTTCTTGGGGATGATGGGAATATGATTTTGAGAGATGGGTCTAATTCAAATCGACCAATTTGGCAAAGTTTTGATCACCCTGCTCACACTTGGTTGCCTGGTGCAAAGATTGCTTACAATAAACTTACCAATACACACCAACGTTTAACTTCATGGAAGAACTCAGAAGACCCTTCAACAGGACTGCATTCTCTTAGTCTTGATGCAAATAATAGTCAGTATGTTATATTTTGGAATGGGTCTAAACAGTATTGGACTAGCGGTTCTTGGGAATGGGCAGATTTTCAGCTTAGTACCTGAATTGAGAGCTAATTATATCTTTATTATAGCTATCAACGACAAACGAGAATGAGTAGTTACTACTTATTCCGTGTATGAATCCTTCGTTATTTCATATTGATTATGGGGGATAATTTCGGGGCTAGTCCATCAACTCACTTGGTTGGAAAGCACAAAGCAGTGGAATTTGTTTTGGTCTCGCGCGACAGCAAATGTGAAAGTTTATAAATTTCTGCGGGGGGCCAATATGGAATATGCAGTAATATATATCAATCCTTCCTGTAATTGTTTGACGGGTTTCAATCCTAAGTCGCTCAATTAATTGGAATTGAGTGATTATTCTGGGGGTGTGTGAGGAGAACCGAGTTGCTGTGTGGGATAGTACTCGCTGCTAACGCAAGAGAAAGACAGGTTTTTGGGGAAATTTACAACACAGAGATTGGCCTGAATTTCCTCAACCTGGTGGCTTTGGCAGTGCTGCTGAATGTGATCTTCTTTGCATGAATAAATTGCCCTTGCAACTGCTTATG